TTATTCATCACCCGTACTAGCTGATGATTGGTGGAGTGCCCCTTTCTGAATCCAAACTGTTCCGGAAGGAGAATGTTATTTTCCTCGACAAACTTGAGCAAACGATTGAGAATGAGTTTCTCGAACAATTTGCTCAGCGCTGAAAGGAGGCTGATTGGTCTGTAGCTTGAAGGCAATGTTGGATCCTTACCGGGTTTGCGGATTGGTATGATTTTTGCTACTTTCCAGATACTTGGAAAGTAGTGCAGTTCCAAACATCTGTTGAAGATAGCGGTTAGAAGAGACTGCACTTTCATGCTGAGTCTCTTCAAGATCAAGTTGAATATACCGTCAAACCCGGGAGCTTTCATGTTCTTGGTGCATTTCAGCGCTGAGCAAATTTGTTGTACTGTAATCATATCCGCCGGAGGCACGACACAAGGGGAGGCATCTAGGTTTTGAACGCATTGCGCAACCTGATCTTCGAGCGGACTTTGGATATTCGAGCCAAGCAAATGCGATGAAGCGACATGCTCGCCGATCGCATTTGCTTTCTCTTGTGGGGTGATTAAAAGCCGATCGTCATCATTTTCGACTCTGAGAGGTGGAATGGGTTTGGGATGAGTTTTCAGGACCTTGGCTACCTTCCAGAATGGTCTGGAGCGGTCGTCCAGATTCTGGACAACACGCCCGAAACTTTCATTTCGGAGTGAGTCCATTCTGGAAGCAATCTGTCTGTTCAGATCAGCCATTTCACGTTTTTTGCCCAGATCTCCAGTCCTCTGAAACTGGCGTCTACGAACATTTCTCAGGCGAATCAAAAGTTGGGTGTGGGAATCAATAGCAATAAACTTACCCCTCACAGGAACTCTTCGGACGCACGCCTCGTCAGCCACGGTTATGGCTTGGTGGAGTCCCTCCAACGCTCGGTCGATGTCCTCCACGGTGTCAAGCGGCGGGTTGTCGATGATGTGCCTGTCTACCACGCGTCCAAACTGGGCCCAGTTAACGCGATGGTAGTCCTTGCGCAGGCTTGAAGCAGGAGCCACGTTGCAGCCCAGTTCAGCCACCACCGGTTGGTGGTCGGAGCTGAGTTCGTTCAAGGCTACCGGCTTGGACAAGCCGATATTTGTCAGGAACAGGTCTAGCGTCGATGGGTTGCCCACCGGTGAGATGAATGTTGGTTCATCCGAAAACCAAACGGAATACAGCCCATGCTGTGAGTGGTCGAACAGGAGACGACCGTTCTGGTTCTGCTGGTAGTTCCGCCAGGCCTCATGGCGAGCATTCAGATCTCCTCCAACTACAAAGCGGAAACCGGTACGGGTGATGGTGGACAGGTCCTTCTTGAATTTAGCCGCTAGTCCACTGCTGGCGGCACACTGTCGAGGGCACTAGACGGCGATGAACTGGACGTATCCAGTCGACGACTCCACCTCCACACCAAGGGCCTCGATGATAGAGGTGCGGATATGGGACAGAGTGTGGTATTTTATTCCTTTCTTGACGACGACCGCAACACCACCCCCCCCCCCCCCCCTGGAGCTGGTGCGATCAAGCCGGATAGTGTTGTGGTCAGGCAACCAGAAGCTGTCGCCGGACTTTAGATGGGTCTCGGTTAGAAGGCCCACGTCGATACTGTGCTTGCGGAGGAAGTCGGTAAGCTCAATCTTTTTTGCTCTTACAGAGCAAGCGTTCCAGGTGACGATAGTTAGCGGTTTAGACGCCATACTGGATGATGAACTTACCGAACACTTGGATCTGTTCGGGCTTATTGCGGCACTTACGAAGAGCACCGGACATGTTGACGAAAATTTCCATCAGTTCATCCGCTGAGAACAGATCGGGGTTGTTGTTTTGCGCTGTTGGTTGTCTCCAGAAACCAGGGGGGGATGGAGAGCTTTGACCAGCAGAATCACCGGAAGCTTCTTGAGGGGGGGCGGGTTGCACCCGCGAATTCACTTGCCTTTGCTGGGGAGCACGAAGAGGCGGAAAATCCTCCGTCCTGAATGATGGGGTTTTGTCCTTCTTGCGTCCTGGTTGATTGATGCGTGACGCCAGCTTTCGGATGCGTTTGAAGTCCTCGCGTTTGGAGCACTGTCTGTCAGAGCCTTGATGTGCACCACCACAGTTAGCGCATTTTATCGCCACGGCTCCATCCGCAGGGCAGTTGGAAGTGGCGTGTTCTTGAGCGCAGTTGCTGCAGCGTGGCTTGATGTTGCAGTTGCGGGTACCGTGTCCAAAATTGAGGCACCTCATACACTGCGTTACGTCACGATGGCCGCCACGGTATGGCTCCCACCGTACGATGATGGAGCAGATTGATCGGATGGCTTGTAGCGCATTGAGCGTCACTGTCCCTTTCTGGAAGTGCACCAGGAAAAGACAATCCGGGTACGTCTTCACGTTTTCGTCTCTCCTTGTCATTCGGAAGACAGCGATTGGGGCAAGCTTGTACCGGTTGATTTCAGCTTCGACCATCTTGGGGTCGAAGTTTGGTAGACCCCTGATGACTACCTTGAAGGGCTTCTCACCGGGGATGTCGTGCGTGAAGAATTCCGCCTTGGTATCCTTCAGATGTTTCACGGCCACTTCGTACTCCGCTTTTGTTCGGAGCATCACCTTGGTGCCGATCCTGCCGAGCTTAAACTCAGCTGCAACGCCCAGCGATGAAAGATCGCCAATCAGCGTGTTGAGTGGGACTTGCTTCACCATCAGTGGAGGAAGCTTCATTTTTGCTGCACTCGGGGTGGCAGCAGTTTCGTTGTCGACGGCGTCGGCAAAATCACCAATGACGCTGACGTTCGTCGCGGTGGCATCGTCCCATCCACTCGCACCATCGGACTGGCCTTGATTTTTCTTCCTCTTCTTAGACCGCTTCACCGTGGCTGAGGTGGGATTCCCTACATCGGTGGGAAGAGTAGCGTACCTATTCGAAATAGGTACACTCAAGCTACCCTCACCGCTGTTCTTCTTCTCCGTTTTCTCTCGGAGCCTGCTCCGGGAGCGCTGTCTTCCCATCACACGAAGCGACCGACACTAATGACACTAATGCGAATGTTTGGAACAAACTAGAAACTTTAGAACAACTCGACAGAGCGAGCAAAGACCGAACTGTACTGCTTGACGTTCAAGCAGAGAAAATGATGATCACAACGAAAACCAGCCACTTATCTGTTAGTTGTCTTCTTCCTTTGCCATCTGTATTCTGTTACCTTCCCTTCGCGTACGAACCAATCCTTGCGCGCTCGCTCTGTTATTGGTTGATTGACTTGCTAATGGTGCTAAACGCAGGTGAATCATGTCTTGACGTGTTTAACGCGCATGCCAATGAATGAAACAACAAAAAGGTCTTTTGTTATCTTGAGATTGCTTACCCGCGATCGAGTAAGGATTAGTAACACTCTTATGAAGCAGAAAATTCACAAATGTGTGTTATTAGATTCCGTAATGCAATTAGATTGCGCAGACAAATAAATTTACCGGTTCAACGGCTGGTCACCACTATCAGCTCCAGAAAGTGCAGGGTGAGGATGACACCCCTATTGTGAGCCAGTTTCACTTCGTCAATGAAATCATATAATCATGTTTTATAATCAAATAGATCTCCTTCCTTGAGGTTAAACCCCCTTGACATGGAGCCGCATATGGTGATCAAATTCCTTGCATCGTCAAAGTCAATCGCGAACCTAAAAAAATGCCAATACTCAAAAAAAGAGCAAAAACATAGCAGTTTTTAAATGCTTCGTTTTAGCGTTTCCGCAAGTTTCCGCAAGCTTTTATTGCATTTTTCGAAAGATAATATAAAGGGCTTTCAAGTGCTCTATGGCAAACTGCGGTGAACAGAGGCGTACTTAGTTATTTTTATGAGTCAAAACCATTAAATTTACCTTAACATTATATGTAGTTTTATACAGGCTCTATTGCGTTTAAATTTATAGATTCTACAGTTTCGGATAGGTCAAAGTATGAGCTTTGAAATGGTATACAACAATCATATTTGGAACTCTTTTTATTGTTGCATAACATATTTTTTTTAAACAACTTGAAATTGATATTTCAAAAATGGCCAACTTTGGAGACATTTTTCATAATAAAACTTTCTTCCTGTTGACATATTTTCATGAATCCTGAAAATATAAACAATAAACTACAAAAAAAACGATGAAAACATATAAAAATCGAACATTGCATTGTTGGCACTTTTGGCCGCCCATTTATATGGACCCCTTCTTATGTGAGTCACACAAACCGTATTCTAAAAAGATTAAATTTAGATAATGACATACAATCATCAAGAAAATTACATCGAAACTGTATTCATACGTCTTGGTCATGACTATTTTGGCAGATTAAGATGACATGAAAACTGCCCTCTTGACTCCTTACACACTCCTAGTTTTGTCCATAAAAAAAAGGGACATCATTGCGTCTCATCCACTGAAATCACTATCAATCACGACATCGCAAAACGAATCAAAAGCAGTTGCTCGTTGTGATCTCATTTACTCATTCATTCTAGTCATTTAAATTAAATACGTAGTTCTACTCACAACCCATCTTTGGCAGTGATAACGGATTCGTCCAAGCATCATCCAATCCCGCAAATGCAGCTGGTGATCGTTTTGTTTACTCGAAAAATAACTCAAAGCAAACCAAAGCAATCACGTCATTAATCATCCGCAATCATCCTCATTGGCCGCTCGTCTCAAGTGGTCAATGAACGGCAGCAGAGCTCAGAGTTGATTTAGACCAAATTTTTAAAGCTAACGGTGTCTGAATCAGCGATGCCACAACAATTTCAAAATTGTAAGCTCAAAAAAAAGTTAAGTTTAGGTATTATTTTTTGAGCTAACAAACTTGTTATAGTCCCAACTTTTTTCGTGTACAAAAAAGAATCTATACTTATGGCCTCGCTGGTCTGAGAATCCACACCTGAACGAGATAAGAGCTTCACTTCGAAGAATTGAGCACCGAAATTCCCCAGCCTTATCGGTGCCGGTCCTTTCGTGCGAGTGAAAACCTTCCGGCACACGAATCAGTCCGATCGCAATGCTTGCCGCGTACGCCGTTGTTTTTGTCGGTCTTCTACAGCTGATCGTTCCATCGCTAGGGGGTCGCTCCAAATGCGATCGTCTATTTTCACCGGTTCGGTGTGGCGTCCCGAAGCTCCACACGGGAGGATCTTTGCCGTCCCGTGAGTCCGAAGCTATTCGAGGAGAATTTCCGTGGCACGCAGCGTTGTACCATGAAGAAGGTGGAAACTTTAGTTACTGTTGTGGTGGATCGTTGATTTCCGAAAGGTTTGTTCTGACGGCGGCACACTGTGTGATGAATCCGAACAACGGCTTCAAGTTGACGCTCGAGCGGTTGAAGGTCAAGCTGGGCGTGCACGTGATCGGCGTGGAAGATGAGTGCGTGCAGGAGGTTCGGGTGAGGAAGATTCATGTGTACCCAGACTATCATGTGGGTGATTTCAAGCATGATCTGGCGCTGTTAGAGTTGCTCAAGAGGGTAGTCTTCACGAATCGGGTGCTACCGATCTGTGTGGACATGAGTGAGCATGAAGATAACGACTTCTACCGACAGTATGGGAAAGTTGCTGGATGGGGTTATACGGAGAAGGATTCGGTATCCAACTGGCTTCGGATGACGGAGCTGCCATTTGTTAACTACACCCAATGTCTAGGGAGCAATCCGGACGTATTTGCAAACACCATCTACGAAGGGATGTTCTGCGCTGGGTATGGAAATGGGACCAGCGTTTGCAACGGGGACTCTGGTGGGGGACTGGTAGCGTACAATCGGGACCATTGGATGCTGAGGGGGATCGTATCGTTTACTGCCCTGAGAGATGGACCACAGACCTTGTGTGATACCAAAGAGTACGCTGGGTTCATCAAAGTGCGATACTACAGGAATTGGTTGAAGAACATCACTGAGCAGGTGGGGGTTGGAAAAGAGGAACACTACACGGAAGCTCCAGTTTTGAATAACGACGAAGATTTCGATGAAGAGCAGAGGCGGGACCCTTGCGGAGAACGAAAGATTAACAAGCGCGGATTGATAGTGAACGGAGTTCGTAGCTACGCCGGGGAGTGGCCGTGGCACGTAGCCGTGTACGAAATCAACGGCCGATCGAAGCGGTACATTTGCGGAGGAACGTTGATCAGCGATCAGTATGTTATGACGGCAGCTCACTGCATGTTGGACGACACACTGAAGCAGCGGAGCGGAACGATCGTTGTGCAACTGGGGCAGGACGACCTGTACGAGAGTTCCGTTAACATGCGGGAGGTTCGGGTGGGGAAGATCAACCCGCATGAGGGGTTCGATCCGGTGCGTAAAATCAACGATATAGCTCTGCTGGAGTTGACCTCGTCGGTGCAGTTCAATGACTTTATTCAACCAGCGTGTTTGCCCACGAAGGAGGACGTCAGTAGCGGGAATCTTTTGGGACGTTTGGGATCCATCGTAGGTTGGGGTTATAAACAGCCTTGGTCGTTCATGATATCCAATACGCTGCTGTCGACGCGGTTGCCCATTGTGGACGTTTCGATGTGCTCGATTGGAGCGGAATTTGGAGTGGAGACGGAGGGAATTCTCTGCATGGGGTCTGCCAACGGTGAGTTGATGGAATTCGGGAATTCGAAATCAATGTAATTTCCGAATCGGATTGATTCTCTAGAAACCAATGCCTGTACGGGAGACTCCGGTGGAGGTATGTTCTTCGAGAAGGATGGACTGTGGAACGTCCGGGGAGTGATCTCCGCTCTGGATACGGTGGACGGGTTCTGCAATCCGGATGGCTACCTGAAGGTTGCCGACACGGGCCATTTCGTCAAGTGGATCAGGAAGGAGGTGCGGGTTTGACTGGTTAAATGATTTTGCATTTGGTAGGTTAATGATATTTCATTGGTTTCAGATCCGAGCTGCCGTCAGGAAGCTAACTGGTCGAGACAAAGATCGAGATATGTCTTTCCTTCAGGCGGGTACGGACCACGCGACGTCGGCCAGAGATTATAGTAAGTCGAGTTTGCAGGTTTTCTAAATCTTGTTGGATCTAGTTGAATTCATCAGAATCAAGGATTTATAACATTCCTAAGATTGATCTTTATCATTAATGAAATTCAAGCAGTCAATTCGATTCCTTTGGATTATTTTAATTATTCCTGAGGAAACCATTAATCCAATGTTCCACTACATCGTCCGTTGTATTGCATTTATTAGATTGAATGGATTCGTTGTACCGTGAAATGGGGTATCTTTGATTATGCGGGTAACTTTGATAATATAATATAAAGATTAAATTTACTCGCTGCGCTTTTTCCAAAATAGAAACATTGGTTCCATGTTGTAGCTTAGGGTATTTCCGTTGATATCGTATATAGTTTTTATATAGCATGTGTAATATATTTTACAAACATATTAAAAACAATTTTCGTGATTTTCGCCTGTTAGAAAAAGCTTTCAAACCATCTCTTATGAAATGAATTTCTGACAGAGCCATAACAAATTCAATATTGTATTCTTATTGCTTATGAGGTTTTCTGATTATATACTCATTCAAAGTTTCATATTTTAAGAACTAAATTGTTTGAGTTTCACCCATTTTTTGCTACATTCATCGAGTATTATCAAAGTAACCCCAAATCAAAATACTGAAGTTCGGCCACAAAACTAAAAAAAAGTAGTGTAAATGCTTTAATTTCCATTGAATATATTACTAACGAATTCACTCTTGGATCCTCAGTACTTGTTTAAAATATATAAAATTTGAAAAACATTCATTGCTGTAAAAAATATTTAGAATATACTTTAAAAAACTATCAATGTTACCCCGTTTTACGGTACTCTCAATTCTGTTGAATCGCGATTTTTTCCGTACGTATTTCTGATCGTGTGATCTCAAATTGCATCCAAATGCATGCAATAGTTCAATACAATCATGGAAAAAAATGGAGATACTGAAATTCCTGTAATCATCCTAAATGAGAACAAAATTGGAAAAATGTACATCGTTTGATCTAAATTAATTATTTCGTTTCGATCTTCTGAAAAAAAAACCTTGAGAACTTCATAAGTCCATGGAACTTCAGAGAAGATTTTAGAGCTCCATGATTGTTTCATGAACATTAGGAAAATGTGGGAACATTTCGTTAATATCAGACATAAAGGGAACATTTTATACCATAGATGAGGAGATGAAAGTATTGAATTTATAGTCCAGTTAGACTACGGCATTTTGAAAATTGTATATAGAAAGAAAAAAGCGAGTAAATAACAATATTGAGGAAGGCATGAATCTGATCGAGCACTCCTTTTAACAAACTCATCCGTTGCTAAGGGGCGGTGAGGGGTATTTCTTCTCATCATCTCTGGCAAAAGAAATGATTCGCTTCGTACGCTCATGTATCAACGATCATTTCTTTTTACGAGAGAAATACCCTTCACCGCCCGCAGATCGGACACACAATGCACATGCAATGAAGTCAATAAACGAAAAGTTTGAATTTCAAATCATAATTTCCATACTAACTTCAAATGGTTTGTGCCAAGTCAGTTTCTTACTAAATGAGTTCAACTTTCGGATGGCTAATCGAGACCCGATTTGAACCGCTTGAGCACTGTGGAGCGAAAATTTAAATTTCTGCATGAATCTAGTATAAATACAGTTAAGCATTATTTTATTACAATTACGGGCGGTCCACATGGATTTGAGAATGGCGGGGATTCACATATGAAAAATCAGGAAGTAACTAGCGCTAAATTTGCCATGACAGCACTGTTTACGGCTATCTGCCCTTAATTCGTGTTACTCATTTCATTAGATTCACTCTAGGTGGACTGGATTTTTTCGTTAAAAAGTAAAGCAGACAGTCGAAGCATTTAGAATGAACGAGAAAATGATTCCACCAAACACACAGTTGTAACCGCATTCGCACTTTCCACGATTGCATTTCAGCTACCCCCGGTCCAACACGGCCACCCTATCCGAGCTTCGCTGAAATCCACCACCACCATCACCACTACTACCAGCTGCCAGCGACGGAACATCGGCATCGGGATCGCTGTAAGCCGCGGGACGACGACGATTCCTCCTCCGATAGCAACGAAAGTAGCCTCAAAAAGTTATTCACGAAGAAGAAGTGCTTTATCAAGGATTTGAAAGACACTCTGCTGTCCAAATTGTTCTAGCTTGGAGTGACATGGCCGGCTTGTGCTGCTAGGATGATAGCGCATGTGAGAATACATGACCCAATTTCGTAATTACCAGCTCCTTTCGCGTTGTCCTTTTCACAACGTCCTACGGACTGCCACGTTGCTTTCACTGGTTACGAACACGAACGAAAGTCCCTTTCATTACGTAATGTTGTCCTTCAACTTTAGCCACTTACTACAAGAAGATAGCAGCAGCATTGGAAGCAGTGTTGCTGTCAGTTTCCAACGGGGACAATTGTGTTTCACATTGGCACATATTGGCGTGCCTAATTTTGCCCGGGTCCACTGTGTCAACTGAAATGATGACTAACACCTTCACCTCACTGAGAGCGAAAATCCCGCACCATTCACAGAACTGATGACAACTTGTAGACCAATGTAATGTACACCAAGATGGGTAACCACTCATCTTCGCATCCCCATTTCCTATGGCAGGGCACCAAAAGGCGAGCGCTCGCTTGCTAATTCGAGCGCCATAAATTCTAAGCGCAAAGAAAACAACCCATCCGTCGGAAGTGAAGAGGGAGGTTGTTGACGAGCTGGGAAGAAAAACAAGGATAATAATCCCGAAAGAGTCCGAAAAGTTGCCTTGCCTTGGGAAGAATAGTGCCGCCATCGTCAGCTCGGTCAGTGAAAAGATCAAAATGGGTCGAAAAAGCAAAATTGCACGACAAACATCGATACCTCGAAAACTATGCACTCGAAAGAGTTTGCCGACAAAAAATTATAGGGTTGTGTCCTAGACACGACCGCAGTAAGGCGTAGAGCCACGGATGTATGTCTCCTCTTAAGCAATTGTTTTGGAAATTTTGGCTTTTGGTTTGAAGTTTGCTTAAAATTTATTCCCGGAAAAAAAGTGATCGGCAAATCCATGTTTTTTTTGGGTTGACGTTATAGACGAGGGGATGGGTATTTTGCTTATCCATATCTGATTCCTCATTATTTGACAGATGATCACGCCGTGATCCACCTTTATCCGCTGACTTGGTCCTGCTGTTTTATATCTTTTCAGGTTCAAGCAGAATGATGTGGTATTCGTTTATGATGACTGGGTTTGGGGAAAACGTTTAGTTTATGAAAACAGTGATAAAATTATCATTTGCGAATTTTTCAAAAAATTTCGATTAAATTGGAAAAGTATTTATTTCAGCAGATTTGTTAAGTAATATCCTATCGATTGGCGTATTTGGATTTTAATTTCATCTATAAATGACAATGTTACAAGCGTTCAAAACCTAACACTATTTCCCCACACATATTTTTTGATTTGTACCCCAGTATAGTCGACAAAGACGTAGTTATACGTCAAAAAATCTTCCTTTTGACGTAGATGGTGACTAGGGTGGTCCACCTTTTTAAAATTAAATTTTAAACATTTTTTTTAAGTTTAAAGGATTAGTTTAAATTGGAAGCAGTGAGAATTGGAGTCGTAGAGATTCGGAGACAGGGAGAACAGAATTTAGAGATAAGTCAGAGAGGATTTCAGCCTGAAATAACTTGATTCAGACCAGGGCGTCACAATATCAGCTTCAATCTGCTAGCTTTCTTTTTCTGATGAAGCAGAACAAATAAATTTTCAATCGTTTGTCTCTCTATCCAGCAGGCCACTTTTCACAAAAGTAAATAAAATTATGTTTTTCGTAGTGTACCAACAGCGTACCATAGCGTACCTTCAAGGATTTTGAACGTACCTAGCAAATTTCTTGTTTTAGGGTATCCTGCTGAATAGACGGGGGATTTTTCGAACATCTTAATTAAACCTTCCAAAACCTTCACTGATGTAGTGTACCAATAGCGTAAATTTCCGTTACTATGATGCACATAAATGGAGCGTCATATATCATACAAGTTTAGATTATAGATCATGTAAATTAATGAGACATGTCATGCAATATTCCATATATTGTATGCAACTGTCCACTTTCGTTTGCAACATTTCTTGCAAGCTGCTTGTTTACGTGAAAAGGAAGTTTACATGTATGAATGTTTGCATGCATAGATGTTTACATCGCCAGTAAAATTCAGAATTTTTTGGTGTGTACCTTCCGAATCTGAGGTTCATTTTTAACGTACCTCAAAATTTACCTTCTTATATATATAAAACTCTTTAAAATACATTATATGTAAAATCTGCCTTCATATTTGGATTTGTCAGAAAATTTTAGTTCGATTTGACCCAAAAAACATATTACTTAAGTGTATTTTACACTACTTAATGACAAAAAACGTTATTTTGGAAGAAGTATATCAAAATACCCTTGAATACCTACATCCAGCTAAGCATTCTGTTTACCCCTGAAAATAGATAACCAACAAACATGGGAGATTGCATTTTTAAATATCTTTAAGTATACATTATCAATCTGTATGGGTACAGGTTGAAAACGGCATTTCTGATCGAAATGACGTCTGAGACAAAGTTGTAGAGAAAAAATAATGCCAATCAATGTATTTAGTTTATTTTTAGCTTAATTAATAAAAAACACAAAATCCAAATATATCAAAATATCCTTTTCCAATTTTAAAAATTTATTCTTTTCAAGAAAATGCTTATGAAAAATGCAAATTTTTGATATATTTAAAACCACTTGAATACTAACAAGAACTTTTGGTCAACTTGTTGAACTTTTTGTTAGAACACTTTTTTGTTTTCTTTTTTTTTCACAAAAAATGATTTAAGATATCCAAGGGGTGTTCACTCTACACATTGATTTCGCGCCAACTTTTTTCTCAGTGTGCCTCAAGTGTGCCGCGCTGTGTCGGCAATGCCAGTAATCGGTGTGACGTTGCATGTTGGTGAATAATTACATGTTTGGAATCCCGGTACTTTGACAGCTCGTATGTTTTGTTTTACTCACTGAAACCACAAGTAAAATTAGATTACCGGCATCTCGTTGAAGGACCTGCACCTGCAGCTAACCAGGATTCCAACATGGACCCGAGAGAGATCGAGAAAGCCTAGGCCGGCCAGAAGCAAGACTCCCCAAACGGTATGCGGATGTGGTTTGTCCTGTGCACGTACGACACCCAGGAATGGGACATAAACTTGGACATTATGTGAATCCAGGGCTATCGGTTCTTCTACAACAATCTGAGGAACACGGCTAAGTGTGCCCTGATGTACTTTACCGACGAGAAGCAGCACGACGTGCTACAGGGCATATGATAAGGTTGTCACGCTCCATTTTGAAGTTTATAAAATACTTTTATCGTCACTCTACAGAGTAACTTCGAGAGCAACATTGACCGCTGGATCCTGTCCCGGTTGACCAACTGCATCCACATGTCCAATAAGAGCTTCGAGAAGTACGAATTTTTCAAAACCACCAGCGCGTGCCACGACGTTTGGCTGTATTATCTGTGCGATCCTGGAGTGCTTGAAGCTGGTGTTACAGTCCAGATCCGAGGGAGCTAAGGTCGTAGGTAAACGTTCTACACTAATTTGAAGGTTGATCTAAAGCTTCTATAGTACTGCATGTCTTTTATCATTGACGAGCTGTACTAACGGTTGTCGTGTGGAGCACGTAGCCAGTATTAGCGCTTCACCGTACCCGAAACTGGAATCATACACCTGTCACAACGAGCAGCTCGAGAAAGACTTTGACTTTGTGCAGCGTATGGCCAAGATCAACCCAAATGAATTAAAATTTGCTGGTCGGTCCGAAGCGGTTACAACTTGTCGAACAAGATGAAGACGGAAGCATTCATCCTGTGCAGTAACGATGCCACCAAGGACACGTTAGAGAGTTTCATGGAAGCAGCCGACTATGAGAGCAAAATTCCTGAGGAAGTTCGGAAGAACAGCCAGAAGATGCTCGATCAATCTACTACAGAAGCATTGTTTTTTGGGTAGGCTACCGAATGCAAAAAAAATATATCACGGATGGAATAAAATGTGCAAGCTGCTCCAGGCATTATTTGGCATTGTAGTCGAATCCTCTTTCGCTTCCTGGGCATCGAAAATTCCCGGTGCTGGTTCTGAGGTGGCAACATTTTCCTAACGGAGTGTTAGGAAAATGTTGCCACCTCAGGACCAGCACCGGGAATTTCCGAGTCGTGCACTTTCCACCTTGTTGCTATCTTCGGCACTGCCCTGAACGTCCTGCGCATGGGCAATTGGATCTGCGCTGAGAGGCAATCCATTGCAGGACTTCACGGTTGCGGTTCTCAATAATGTGTGTATCAACAACAATGATTCAATTTGATTCTGACACATGCGCACTGCGCAGGTGCAGAAATAGTGCAGTGTAGCCAGTAACTTTAAAGATTGCGAAATTTCTCACCATGGGTGCCAAACAGTGCCAATGAGTGTACCCAGATGTGCCCAAGTTGCGTTTTGGTGAACTGTGCGGAGTGACCATCCTCTTGGAAATGTCTTAATTACATAAAGATAATTTTATCAAAAAGTGAAAATTTTGTCCAACAGTTCTTAGTTGGAGATGGTTAACGTCTGATATTTGACGTTAAGCATCTCCAACTATGTAAATCGTTAACTTCATGCATGAAGTAATACAAACATGATTAGTTACACTACAAAAGTTCTTGTTTTACGATTGTTATCATTTTGCAATTATGCAAAGTTTCATGCTAGTCGAATTGCCAATTGCTCAGTGGAGTCAGAGAGGATTTCAGTCTGAGAGAATTGGAGTGAGAGAGAAATACAGTGACAGAGAGAATTGGAGTCAGAGAGAATTAAAACTAGAGAGATATTAAGTCTGTTCCCGTACTTGCTTCTTTGCTTATGCTGTAAATTGCTGCAGCTTTCTGCAAGTTGCTGTAAGAAAATAATATGGTGCAGAAAATGCAGGAACATACTTTTGATTTTTGCTGTACATAATCTCACAGAAAAGCAGAATCATAGAGAATTGGATTCAGTGAGAGTTGTAGTACCTCTCACGCTTAAGGTCATTAGTTCAAATCTCATCCCGGACAAGACACGAATGAGCGAAGGCAGAGATAAAAGTTACTGGGGTAGATGCACCCGTTATGGGTATACGTTCCTATTATGGTGTGTTCCAATTATGGCATATGGGAATTCCGTAGGCCATAATTGGAACACAACATAATAGGAACGTATAGCCATAACTGGAAC